TAAATTCTAATTAAATTGTACGGAAGGGCCAAGCCAATTACGGCCGTGATTTGCATGGAAGGAAGGTGCGGCGTGGCCCCTGGAAGGTCGCCTTGAAAATTGACATTCATTTTCATTTCTCTTTTATTAGTTTTCTCGATATTTCATGATCCTCGAATTTCTCATTAAAGGACTAATTAAATTTTATGTTGATTGCAATCAAGGCGTAACAAATCGCCGTCACTTTTACCTCTGGTTTGAGAAATTGGAATTTTCTTTCAAGCGGTTTTATCAATTAATGAAAAATCATAGATGCAAAGAAAGCAACAAACAAAAGTTATTACTTCAGTATTCCACAGACGGTTTTGTATTATTATTTCATCACTGGCGACGGCAGTCGTCTTTCTTTTCACTGCAATTTAAATGATCTATTATCAAAAATCTAAGATCCTTCTTTATTTCCACACCGTGGTAGGTGAACACTTTCCGGGATTCCTGAGCATCAGTATCTCCTGCCCAAAGTGGCCGAATGCCATTTTTCAATGGTTCTGTTTTTAATGATTTTTTCAGCTTTCTGTGTTGACTGCTCCTGTTTTTGCTAGTTTGTCAGCTGGTTCATTGTCTCCAGTCCCCTCGTGGTCACCTGGCACCTACCTAGCCGTCTATAGGGATGTCACACATGTTTCATTGTTGTTGTATTAAAAATTAATTATTGTGATTATTAAAGTAAAACATGACTGCACTAGCTCCTATTTCTAGGCTTATCCTGATTCGGTGTCTAACTATGCATCTCATAAAAATGACATCAATATGCGGAGTATGTGCGCCGTTCAGTTTTCTCTATGCTGTTAAGAAAATTGTTAACAAAGTTGTGAAATTTCTTCTTGAATTCTGCAGAAAGATAAACTTTAAGTCTGGACCTTTCCGACATCCTCGTCCGCGTATGTTTGCTTTGTTTGCCTGACAGATGCATATCATCATTTCGCTGTATTATGAACTGTGTGTAGCTGTCTTATCTACCATTTTTCTCAAAATTATGAAACATATTGGAAAATCATGACTGTCAATGGGACTAGCTCCTAAAATGTAAACTGTCTAGACCTGCCCTGATCCAGCGTCGAACTTATCTAATCATAAAATTGACTTCAATGTGCATATACCATGTGAGCCATTCAGTCATTTTAGTGCCGTTCGCAAAATATGAAAATAGTAAGGTTTTTTCTTGAGATCTTCAGAGGGATAAACCTAATGCCCGGTCGTTTCCGATCGTCCTGGTTTGTGCATTCTTGCTGTCAGTCAGATGAATATAGACATTCCACTGTATTATTAAATATGTATTATATTCTTCTTTTTTATAAATTATGAAATAACTGGAAAACTGATTTGGCTATGGGACTAGATAACAGTTAACTGTGTAAGTGTGTAACATGACCACAATGTTTTTCACTCAGGATAATGACAGATATTTCAGTCAGTCTTCAGTCATTTTTGGTCTGTTGTTAATAATACATTCCAGTATACAGTTCTACCATAAGTCTGCAGTATTACTTAACATTACTTAAGGCATTAACTTGTAGCTAATAAAAATAGTGTTCATTTGATTCCCATCATCCGTCTATCTCGTTGTTTTTGTGTTTCGACAGTTCGCCGTCTTCAGCGGTTGGTAAGAAATATAAGGAGGTTAGGGCAACAAAATGAGCCTACCATTGAAAATGTCTATACGACTAAAATACACTATGAATATTATTTTCGAAACTATTTTGGAAAATAAATTCATTGTTAAGTCGATCTTCGCGGATTTTTCATATGCATTTGCCACGGGTGTTTTTCTACACTTATAAAAACATAATTTTTAAGTATGTAACATTTGTCCATTGAAAATGAAGTGCCGAAAATCTCTTCAAGGTGGAAAATTGAGACCGAATCGTCCGTCCGAATGTGATCCGAGGAAAAGTAAGTGTCTATGAAAAAATAATGTCATTCAGGGTAGGGCAAACTTGGAAGAAACCGCCGATGCGTGATATTGCTCTGGATGATTTCAATCGCCCCGTGACGAGGGCGGCAGAACTGCTTTTCAAGGGTGGCCCCTTGGGGTTGGGGTGGCAACTTGGATAGAAATCGTCCGAGTCTACTTACAAGTTGGACCCCAAAGCCGGGGATCAAGCCGTCACCACCTTCCTTTTTGATACTCGGTGAAAACTAACTTCGCCACTTATCCCAGGTGATAAGGATCAAGTTAATTTGGTACAATACAATTTCATAGAAATTATAAATGATGGGGTGAGTGTGGAGTTCAATCTTTTTTAAAAAGTATACAATTTCATTTCTGTTTTCCTTCAACCTAACGTACAAATATTCTGTCTAATGTTTTATTATCAACGCTACAGCATCTGATTGACCGTTATGAACCACTCATTTATCATAAATTGGCCCAATCTTTTGATCCTTGGTAAAAGAGTATGACGCAATGAAAAAAATCAATTTTAATTCAAGTGATGCAAGCATGTCGAAATACAATGCAAATTGAATTAATTGTTCATGACCGACAGCCTTGAATTGTCTCCAACTGCTAGTCAACAACAAATATTTCTCCTTCAGAACAAATAAATTTTTCATCTAAATGAATGAACAGTTACATAAAATGAATGAAAGTATAAAAAAAGTATTTATAGTACAAATTGTTTAAAAGATTAAATTATTAAAAGATATAAAAGAAAGACGAATTAAAAGTAAATATATGGATTTCGCCAAATTATTGACAATCAAGACCTTTCTACATGACACAGTAATCTAATAATTATCTATAGAAGTATTGTATTTTTCCATTCTTGCTTTATTTTTCAGAACCCAGACAGTTGTCACTCAGTATTACTTAAAATTTAGAACAAATGATTATAGCCAATTATTTAATAATTTACCTGAATCTGTAAACAACAATCCAATGCATCTCCATCAACCGTCGAAAAATAAACAATAAAGATATAACCATGTTTTATTTGCAAATTGGCTGTTTAAGCGATCATTAGGACCTCTGTAGCTTTGCTGTTTTCGCTTCAGACACGTTTCCGCTTTTTGTCACTCTTGATGGCGGGTTTGCTGCCTCGCCTCACCCTACTTATAACCCTGACCAACCACTTGTTATATATGCCGGAAAGTGTATTAGCTTGTAAAGTAATACAATGAAAAACTCAAGGGAATTCGTCCCACATGTCTCTAGGAGAAATCTCGCGACTTTTACATTGTGTCAACATGTCAAAATAATGAATGGTATGTACACTGTCCGGCAACACAAAATTTGATAGTAAAGCCTGTTAGGTCTGTGGAGTGCCAGGGAATCTCACTAAATTATCAACCTTACTTGAAGAGTAATTAGGTAAATTTATACACTAATTGTAAATAAAAAAACTCAAAATTTTGAAAACGTATTGTGTTGGTGGAAACTGCTGTGGTATGCATTGCACAAAGTAAATAAAAGTTATATTAAAACATACATTATATGTTGTCTAAAGTATGAATGTAATCTAAACAAATCTAAAAAAGAGAATTGGCGAAAAAAACTTACATCGAAATTAAAAAAACCACAAGTATGCTATATAGGCCTATAACAGAAACAGGATTAAAAGGCCCAACTTTTGACCTAGTGAAACCAGTAGGCCCCCTCGCCATTAATTTTTCATGCTAAGTTCCATACAGAAAATAATCAAAAAGTTTTTTTTTTTAATATTATGTTCCTTGGCGTATGGAATAATTAATAATTTGCACTGTCAGCTTTTTCAAAAATTTTGTTTGGTCTATCCATCCTGTTGTGGGCTGTGAGTGCGTTAACTATCTCTAATATAGGTTATAAGGTCTTGCCTCATCCTCTTTACATCCCTGCACAAGTTGCTTTATGCCACAAACCCAACACAGATGATGACGAAACGCCTATGACAGGCATACCACAGGGACTAAGAAGACCAGGCTATATTTAATTATATTTTGCTGATTAACTGTGTAAAAGCCATTCGGGATAAACATATTTCAAAAACATTTATCCCATAATCACAACTACATTTGCTTGGCCTGTTATCGATTGCGTCTCTAATGAAGCAGTACTTTTAGTTGAAGAGTTTCAAGTATTAAAAGAAATTTTCGCTGACCATCACCCTATTTTGTGCTCGATAATCGAAGAAAAAACTAAATTTAGCCCGTTTTTCCCTTTCCATCCCTAGTTTAAATGAAATAAAAAAGATGAAAAAATAGAGACAAAGCTCCTCTCTCTCCTCAGCCAAACGACGTCAACAGTATCTTAATATAGTAACTGAAATGATTCGCCGTTTTAGTTCGCCCTATGTAAAAAACACTTTTATTAAAAATGTCCATGTGTTTGACGCACAGTGTTCTAACGCTAAGGAGAGATGTTTTGCCCTCTTAAATGTCGTCACCTTACTTTTAATTTAATACTAATGTGTTTGTTTCCTCTTCTACTTAAGTTTCCCCTGTATTTTATTTACTATGAAGCAAGCCCGATTTATCTTATATATTTTTATTTTATTTATTACTATTTTTTACTTACTAACAAAATTAGTTATATAGACGAGTAGTTCATTTTTGCCACAATTTCCGGCAGACGGATTTTCTATCCATTCTTAATGCTTTTGTCAATTATTTATTTGTTAGGTGTGTATTTATCAATACCTACATACCTACCTATCTATCTACATATACATTTCACTTTTTGTTTTACAATATTAATAAATATTAAAATAATTAATCCAAGTTATGAAACATGCTGTAGATACTAGAACAACTTGGATTAATTGTTATTGCAAATCATTAATTGATATCATATCGAATTTTATTAATTGATATCATATCATATTTTATTAATTGATATCATAATATTTTATGAGAAATATATATCGTTCATGTTTTTAAACAGTACAGTAACGAAAATAGAATATGACATATCTAATTAAAAATATTCACTTTTGCGTCTATCTTATATGACTAACAACAATATTTTTGCGTCTGTTTTTCAGGTTCAATATGCAGAAATAACGCGGCACTGAGTAAGTGATTTTGTTTTCAATATTCCCAATTTTTTTGCTCATAGAAGAGCGTCGGTTCGATTCCCACCGTTGCCCCTGAGATTTTTGACCTGTCGCATATCACAAAAAAATTACTCAAAACAGGATTACGTACCATTACGAATAGGCTTACTCGAGCCATGGTTAATGTGGTAGACACGAAGGTAAAAATATATTTTGCTCCAGCGGCTAACCATTCAGTCCCAAAAGCATACAGTTTTAACAAAAATACATTTACACATTCACTCATTCCTTCTTATTTACAACCCATTTATTCAAGTAGAGCGGTGGAGTTAATTATTTACTTGAAAGTCGATAGTACACCCGAAATTTCACCATCGACCCTATTTATGCTTATAGATACTTTTTAGATACATCTGCAACCAAATAATTCTTATAAACACGTAAAATCTACATGAACCAAAATAACCCTGTTTCAAAAAAGAATTGGAACAGTGAAGCCAAATACTCTCTGCCCTTCTTGAGCATAATTCTCATATAAGGGTGATATTCTTACTCGCGTTTCAACTACATTTGGCCAATTCTGAGTCGGGTTTGAATGATCTTTTTACTGCGGTTTTAACTCTTTGGGGGTACCTACCAACCGTACTCTTCACACGCAAGTTTGATATGGGAAGACTGCGAGGGTATGGCAAATTAAGGAAAATACGGTTTTATAAACAATTATTTGTTGAAAACAATGTAGACTTTATAATACATAACTCGTGAATAAAGTGTGGAATGAAAGTTCATATTTATTTTGTTAGCAAAGGAAGTTTTTAGTTATTGGGAAATATAAAACCTATGAATGAAAACTATTTTGGCGTATCACCTTACTGGACAACATCTATCTGAGTACAGTTGTTTAGTATTAAATGTTTGGAACACCTCGTGGGAGGAAGTGCACCTGAGGATGTAAGTCTGAAAAGCTCGTGTAAGGCACAACACCTATTTACAACATAATACAGTTGGTTAATGCACAATCCGTGCACTGTCAGCAGTAGGCAGTGCATTCAGTTCTGCTCTGTGAAAATATTTCTGAATGTGCGTCTTTCGCTGGGTATGTAAAGTTATTAGATTATTTTTCTGCTGCTGTTGTTCAAGGTAATATGGCAAGTGGGATTGAAATTCTTACTCCATATACTGTTAATAATATTTCTCAAAATATTCCGATGGTAAATCTTACTGTAATCGATTGTGGTTTGAGCACAAAGCACTATAAACGGAAGCTGAGTTTTGATATTCTATGTCGTCAGTCTGTCTCATCGAATTATTTATTTTTGCTTCGAATAGAGCATCAATTAATTATTTTTGTGGCAACTTTATTTATATTTCTGCATGCCTCCTCCAATAAATAAGGATCAATTATTCATAAAACGTCGAACCGGTTTTCAGGTTTTACGTTCTCTAATTGATCATTTATTTTGGCAAATGGTTGACCAGATAACCGATGATGCATTTTTCTTTTAAATTGGCCTTCCAACTGACCACCAGGTATCCTGAGCCAATTGACTTTAAATTTCAAATGTGTGGGCGTCCATGTATGGTGGGGCATACATTTATTTTTGTAGCAATAAACTAGTTTATGACAGAAGATCGATGAAAAATTATACGTCTTCGTGTGGTAGGAGGAGTAAGGAAAGATTATCCTTTACCGAGAGGGGAAAATATTTAATTTTGGCTTGTCGTATCCCAGAAGAATAATAATGATGAATATTTCTGGAATTTCGATTGGAAGGTGCCAGCAAATGCAGATTAATGATTACATCCAAAGCATACAACCTTGGCTTGGTATGTCAAATATTCCACGGCGGACAATATTACACGAGGCACCTTAACCTCAATTGATAGTTCGAGTATTATTCGTATTGAAAAGCGTTATGGCAATAACAACACTGTGGGGTATTATTGAAAATATAATAATCGAGTAATAAAACAATCTTTCAATAAATTCAGATAGTGTAAGATATTAATTTTGGGCAGAGATATAAGAAGGACAACAAACCTGGCGAAGGTGGCGAATTGATTAAACGCGTCTGACATACCAAAACTGCGAGGATAAAGTAGACCAAGATGATCGGAAAAAACCACATTAAATAGTAGTCACTCCGTTGGCTTCTAGGTACTAGGAACAATCTCACAGTTTTCATATTTTTGCTCAACTGTAAGAAGAATGGTTGAAGATCTTATGATGAAGTCTACGAGGTGATTAACTAGTCGGTTGCCTCTAATAATTTGTCAAGTTGTAAATCATATCGTTTGAATTACAAAAAATGTCTTTTGTTTGATTGTAACATAAATTTAAAAAAATTATTAACACATTTTATTAGATTTCGTGGTCCGCTTGACCAAATAAAAAAAGGTTGTGGGTTCGAATCCCGCTTGTGATACTGACATTTATCTCAAACAAAACCTTAATTAATTGAAAAAAATGATTAACATTAATTTATCGACTAAACTGGTAGGTATGTCTCCTCCTTGTAATAATATTTATAAATAATAATTAATAATAAATTGGTACAATTCATACGTACGAATACGCTGCTGAAGTTAGCAAAATGTTGAAATACGTCAGACATGCTAACTCAACTACATTTCCAAATATGTCTGTTAGCAAGGAAAAATGATAATGTTCTGTCTAAATGCTGATACCATAATCTAAAAATTCTTGTACGATAAATCAACATTCTATTTTCACTTGTCTATCATCAATGTGTTTTAAGTATGGTAGTAAAGTTCCCAAACTAAATTATAAATTGCTTGCTCATGTTGTTGAGCTATTTAGATTCCGATTTTACGATTTGTTGATCATTTATCTGCCATATTTCACAAGTTTTTTTTCTTCGATTTTTAATAAAAAATTTCTTCATTCGTCTCATCATGAATTCCTTTTCAATCCAGGAAAAATCATTTCCCTTGCAATAACGATTTATCGGCCGATTTCCCAGTCCAACTAGGTATGGGCCTTTACACGGTAAACCGGTTTTCCGGTGACAAACATTGAACATGTATGACATTGAAATTTCTCGACCTTTGTCGTTTTTTTCAAAGAGCCATTCGGAATAGTTATTAGTGCCTTTTGTGCTGACGTTTGTTATTATAATATCAGGTCGGCCTTGGCTGTCGGTAAATATTTAAGAGTCACAAACTATATCCGATCACTGGTTGAAATGATTTTAGAAGACATTAAATAAGTATTATTTTAAATAACATTCATATTAGAATTGGGATGGTAATAGTTATCGATTAGTGATGCACTGCCAATCGCATATCGCTTGTTTGCATAGATAATTCCTGTCTTGTTTTAGCTGTAAGCACGGCGCACACTGGGACGGTCCTAATCGTAAAATCGATATCGTTAATTGTATTTTTAACCATTATTAAATGTGACCTGACAACAACGAAAGGGTGAAACCCAGTGAAGTGTGAAGCCCGTTTCACGCTCAAATTGTGAAGTTAAATTTGTAAAACTTTTAACGTCACCAAACCGGCACATGAAGTTCGTTATCTACTTTATTTTTTTAAACTGAAAAGGAACAAAATTAACAATTTAATAAAAATATCGGTTTTATTATGGAAATAAAAACTATAGTGTTGAAATAGATATGTTTATCGGAGAGATGATCTTTTGGCAATAGTTGAAAAAGGGATTTTTTGGAAAATTTTGTTGAAGCTTTTATTATGTTGTTGATCCTAATCTAAATGCATGAAACGGAGATATTATTAACAAATATTACTACTATATAAAAAATCTTAATGAAAAAGTTTATTTATTTTTCATTTCCTCTCTCTCTCTCTCTCTCTCTCTCTCTCTCTCACACACACACACACACACACACACACACACACACACACACACACACACACACACACACACACACACACACATACACACACACACACACTCTTACTTACCACTCACATTCTCCTTCATTCTCTCTTCTTTTCTTTTTTTTTGTATCCATCTATTTACCTGAACATTTCCTTGTCTTTTCTCCTTATTGTATTATTTTCTCTCAAATCGCTTTATATATAATTTTACGACTACAATGGTAATCGCAATTACGCATGTCTTGGAAAAATAATATTTAATATTTTATTTCTCCAATCGTAAAGAGATTCTTTTTATCAAGGAGATATATAGTACACATTAGAAGGTTTAAAAAGCATCTGGAATGAAAACCGGTTTTAATACTATTTATTAATTTATTTGTATTTGTTCTGAATAAAATTGAGGAAAAAGTATTGTACATTTGTTCTTTTCATTATAGGCGGATAAAAGATTAGGTATAAAACGATAATTCATCCCTGATCGATCCGGCCCTTTGAAATCCTTAGATTAGAAAGGCTAATGTTTTTTTATAATATAAAATTATTCCTCATCAAGTTTGAAGATAGGCAAATAAAACAAAAGTGTTCCTGGAAAAAATATTGATGTATTTGTGATAAATCTAAAGTATTGATAATATTTTATCTGTTGTGACATTTTTCGTCATTACCCACCTTAGTCGAGGTCTCGCCTTAGACTCGGATTTTTATATTTTCTTCATTTCTATAATTAATTTAAAGTTACTCGACCGAAAACTGCTTAAACTCGAAGCAAAAGTTAAATGTTGGACAATTAGCTGATTTGTACTTTGTTGAAAGTTTCTTTTCCCTTCTTCGACTGTGTTTCGATGAGAATGAACCCACATCGTGACCATTTTAACTCCCACAAGCGAATTGAAGCGTTTAAAACAGGAAAATTTGCTAATCGTTGTGACGGTATTTGAAACAATTTGTTTGGGGAAATGAGGAAATGAAAGGGTCTGGCGCGCGGCGGCTCCAGTCGCTGGAGGGGCCACCGATTCTGCGTCGAGGCCCGGCTTCAGTGTTGACTCGACACCCGTAGAGGCAAGGCTTCGCTCTCGCCACGCCGGGACCGGTGTCAGTGCCGCGAAGTTTATCAACGGGAGTTTGGTCTTTTTTTCGACGTTTCTCGT